TGGAAGGCCCTGATGGCAGCCCCAGAGCAGTCGGGAGCCAAGGGGAGTCGGGCAGGAATCCTCCAAAACTGCATGCCGTTTCCCCAGGCAGTTGGGACTCACTGTGCTTCCTCCCCTAAAGCTCTTCTGAGGTCCAACCTGTGTACAAACCCACCAGGCTTCACCTGCAGGGCCACCAGCTCGAGGGCAGGGGCCTCACCTTGTCCTTAGTATTCCTGTCCTGGTATCAAGGTGCTCAGTGACGGCATTGACTTGCAGACTGCCCCTGAGGTTCTGCCGGCACCAACCTGCTGCGTGTGTGCCTATGTGCACATGGAACTGTGTGTGCCAGTGGGAGACCAAGCCACACCCCACCAGGAAGAAATGATGCTAATACCCCTGATGCGATGCAGTCAATAGCATGACTATTGACCTAAAAAGATGTCCACTACGTGTTTGGCGAAAAATCAAACTGCAAAGTCACATGTAGCATGATTTCCCCCCTGTTTTTTCAAGATAAAATACATAGAGAAGCACACAGGAGGCATATACATGGAACTGCTAACAGCAGTCAGTTCTAGAACAACGTTATCTCAAAAATGTCCTTTGTAGCCATTTGGAATGAGTGTTAAAATGGAATTGCTGGGCCACGCTCCTGAATTGCTGTATTAGAAACTAGGAAGGAGCGGCCTAGGAATCTGGATTCTTAACACATGCCCCTGGGGATTTGTTTGTATTTGGGAGTTTGAGAACCACTATTCTACGGCATAAAAATACAGGCCTTTCTCCTTTATCACCTTTCTGTAATGTCTGTGGCTTAAAAGAATCTTTGCCAAGCAAACATTGCTTATGCTATTAGAAAAAAAGCAATAAGATCAAACATATGAGAAAGAGGAACCTTTTCCAACCAGCTCTAGTGATGCTCACGTTAGGCTCAGTCATGTCCATTTTGCATACTGGAAAATAGAGGCCTTCTGGGCAAATGAGCCTTGTTTGGGAACGTATTCCAAGTAATGGCTATGTTCGAGCTACGTTCGAGTCCAGTAGCCGTCTTGCCTGTGCGGCTCTTGCTGAATGCCTTCCCATTCTCTCCCGGGAAGGGCTCTGGAGTGCCAGAGGCTCAGTCCCGTGGAGGGCTGAAGGGGGACCCAGAGGCTCAGCACACCCTCCCACGCTCCCCTCCCGTCCCTTTGAAGTTTGTTTTCTTGTAACTAGAGGAGCCAGAAGGAAGGGGTTCAGTGAAGACCAGGTGGGGCCTTCATGAGCGGGGGCTGGGAACTTTCCTGTGTCTAGAGTGGGCTGGGGCTGAGGCTTGCATAGAAAAAAACTCCAAAACATCTTTCCTGTCATTTTTGCCCCCCTTTTCCCCAAGCCGACAGGCGCCTGGAGCCCCTTATCTGGGCTCACAAATATCAGACAAGAGGTTTCCATGGCAACTCAAAACTTCCTCCTAACCCGTATTCAGTCTGAATCTGCAACACCCCTTTTCAAGGCCCCAGTGAGGTTTCTGAGAAGCCACCCACAGAACAGCCTGAGGCTCCAACCTTTCCCCCACCCCAGCATGCTGTGCTGAAAGGGCATGGTGGGAGAAGCGGTATTGGCAGAAAAACTTGTCATGGGTTCCATGGAGAGATTATAAAAGGAATGAGGGTTGTCTTTACAACAAGCTTGAACCAGGAAGAATTTACCCGGCAGAGGGATTTCAAGCATGAAAACAAGAGAATGTGAGGGAGTGGACAAGCCCTGAGTCTTGTTTCAGAAAGCTGGCCCTCAGCCCAGCTGCAGTGGGCACGCTGCATCTGGTCTCTTGGCTGCCGAAGGACCCTGGGGTGCCCCCCACCCGCAGCGCCTTTTAACTCACTTGTAGCCAGACAGAAGATGCACAGGGGATCTAAGGATGGGGAAAGGGATGTGAGTTAGTGCGTGAGTGGGTGTTTGTGTGTGTGTGGAGGGGACCCTGGGCCGACCATAGCTGGCCAAGCCAAGCAAACTGCCCTGATTCCTGGCTGTGGGGGTGCCAGATGTAGTAAATAAAAATGCAACAGGCACAGTTAAATTTGAAATTCAGATAAACAATGAGTAATTTTGCATTATAAGCACATCCATGCAACATTTGGGACATAATTACACTAAGATAATATTCGTTGTGCATCTCAGACGCAAATTTGACTGGGCATCCTATATTTTATCTGGCAGGCAGGGGTGGAGGCTGTGGCTGCCCCTCTGGCTGCAGGGGAGCACAGTGGCTGGTGTCCGTAGGCCCCTGGGGAGGTGTCCTTCTGTCCCTGCTGCAGAGAGATGGTAGCTCCAGACAGGATGTAGATCCTGAACCTCAGGTGTACCTTCACTACAGCACTGCATGGCTGACCAGGCATGGCCAAGCATTAGTTCTCCCCAGCGGTGACCCTTCTAGCTCAGTGGTTAAGAGCATGTGCTCTGGTGTCCACGCAGATACCACTCCCGGCTTGGCTGCTGGACAGCGAGGTGACCTTCAACTATTCTGTTTCCTCATCTCTCAGGTGGGTTTGAGGATTAAAGGAGATACAGTGTGGGAAGCCCTTCACACCGTGTCTGTCACAGAGTCTGGGCTCCAAAGTGGCAACTTTTATCTTGATAAACCATGTAAAAGCATTAAAGATTTTCATCCAAGTGACATTAAAGACTAGCATCAGTACAATGTCAGCAATGTAAAACACATGCACACAACTGGGCACACCAACTATGCATAGCAAACACTGGAAAGAGACATCCTCAAACTATTTTCAGTGGCTGCTTATGGTTCATGGGATTTTTGATAAGTCTTCCCTTTTTTGTTCTCAATATCCCAAAATATTCATGGTGAACATGTACTACTTTAATGATTTTAAAATAATTTGGGATGGAAGTGTTTCTGAGGGTGTTACATTACTTGGTGCATGACCTGAGGCTACTGTAAATGAAAATGGCTGCTCCCTGTGGTTTAATTTTCTAACCCCCTCCTTGGGGGCTTCTGAAGGGGAGCTTGTTGCCGCTTCCCTATTTGGCTCCCTCTGCTCCTCACCACGGCTCTTCCTTGTGTGAGCAGCCAGTGTCCTGGTTGCAGAGGGTCTGAATCTCAGCTCCACCCGCGACTGGCCGTGTGACCTTAGACTAGTCATGTTACCTTCTGATCCTCAGCTTCCTTGTGTTTAAAATAGGATCCAGCACTGCTTACCTCCCTGAGAGGAGGTATTTTATTCATCAGCACGTCGCTGTGGCTAGTGCATAATAGTGATCACTAAGTATCGGCTGAATGAATAAATGAAGCCGATGAGATGATAGGTGTATAACATTTGGCAGAGAGAGTGACAATAACAAATGACCAACGTTTGTCATTATTATTATTGTTCTCAGAAGCTATGCTGATAGTGGCATAGATGGGCCTAAGTTTGAAATGTGCTTTCTTCTGCTTAGTGGGATAGAAAAGTTCCCTTAGCAGGACCATGGGCAAGCTGCTTCAGCAGTGTGAGCCTCAGCCTCATGTATTAAATGGGATGACGGTCAGTAGTGACCTCGTAGGGCTGTGAGGACTGACTGAGCCCGCCGCACAGTGCCTAGCACAGTGGACGCGCTCCCTCCACAAGGCCCGGGCGTCTCTGCTCCCTTGGGGGCTTATGGCTACTCAGTTCAGTGAGCAGGCCTGCGTGTGGCCCCTGGAACGACGCTGCCGTGTCTGCTCTCCTGGATGTCAGGTTCCTAGCTGCAGCCCCACGTTAGAGGGCACACAGGGTCTTCGGATTGGCGATGCCTCCTCCTCATATTTGCAGTTTGATAGGAACTGGGTGGGAACACTTAGGAAGAATGCTTTGTGGGGAGATTGCCGGAGCTGGGATTTGAAATCAGATCCATCTAATTACGGAGCGCCTCCCTGTCCGCCTGCCCCTGCTCAGCCGGATTTAAGACCCTCCTTCAGGAAGGCGCCGCCAGGCCTGAAGCCGCAGCCAGTTCTTGCTCTCGGGGTTAGAGAACTGTTGTGTCAATGCTGCTAGGCAGGGGCTCCCCCGCAGGATCTCCCCGGGGCGGGGCCGGGCTGAGGAAAGCCGGCAGCCCCAGAGCGCCGACGCCAGGCCAAGGGCTCCGCTCAACTGTGCTCCTGGCTCCAGGCGGCCGCGGGCAGGACCGCTGGGCGGGGCCCAGGTCCCCGGACCCTTTCTGATCATGTTCCCTCAACCTGCAAGAGCCTGGCATGGGATCGATTTTCATCTTCCCTAACCTCTTCTCTCTCCAAGCATCAAGTCCCGAAGGAAACGCCCCACACGCTTACTGTGGCATTCTTCTTCTTTCTACATCCCCGTTTTCCAAATTATTTTTACATTGACTATATACTGTGTGTTTTGTTCTCCTAAAAAACTCATTGTCCCATTTAGAAAAGTAATCTGTACTTACTGTAAATAAGTAAACAAATAGACAAGTAGGAGAAAAACACTGGCCATGCAACAACCGTCCTCAAAAACGACCACCGTGTTTCCTTGCAAGTCGTTTCCCCTTTCCGCACATACGGACAGAAACACGGCTCCTGACCTTCCTGTAACTTGCTCTGTCCCCTGTCCCTCTCTGATGCCATGCCTGGCTGGGCACCAGAAGGCCATCCCCGGCGCGCCGCCGGTCTGCTGCTGCTTTGCGCCCGCCGCGCGCAGTCCGGCCTCCCCCGTCGGACACGCTCCCACCTACCCGGGCCGCAGCGCCCTCGGGTCTCTGCCTGAGACTGGCCGGGAGGTGGAACCTCGCGGGGCTTCTGTAGTGTGGAAACTGAGTTCGAGTGTGTGTGTGTGTGCACACGCGCTCACATATAGGAATAAAGCAATATATCTAAAGGCAAAATGAAGGAAGAAGAAATGAAAAAAAAGGTGAAGAACAAAGGGGAAAAAAAGTAAAAAGAATGAAAGAAGGGAGGAAAGAAGGACCGGAGGGGAGGAAGGCAGAGCCGTGAAGGATCGAGGCCCCGCCCTGCTTTGCTCGCGGCCTCCCCGCGGCGGGGCCCGGGTGGTCGTGCCCCCACTTACCGGACCTGAGCAGCACCGCCCGGTAGAGCCCGGTGGCCTCGGCCGGGCCCCGCGCGCGCTCGCCCGGCCTCTGCGCCATGAGCCCGCGCGCCGGACTGCGGAGCCGGCACCGCGGGAGGGGAGTGCACGGCGGCCGGTGTCCGGAGCCCGAGCGCCTTGGCCGCGGTGACGTGGCCCCAGGCCCAAACCCCGCGGAGGATCGGGTTTCCAGGCGGCCACAGCGTCGGGTCCCGCGGCGCCGCGTGGGGAGGACAGGGGGCTGGGACAGGCATCCCCGCCCCCTGGCAGGATGCGGGCGTTTGGCGGAGGGACTCCTGGCCCCAGGGCTTCTGAGGCCGAGGCGAGAACCCCGTGCCCTGATTTCCAGCCTTGGTCTCCTACCTGCTCTTCTCCAATTCCCTGGTCACTGGCCTCGTCGAATGCTGCAAGCAGGCCTGAGATTCTTCAGCGCTATGTCGGGGATCAGACCCCAGGGCCACCAGTGAACAGCTGTGTGATCCCCTGATTTAATTATGTAGCCTCTGGGAGCCTCAGTTTTTTTCATCTGTGAAATGGGGATGACCACAGTGCTTATCTGCAGGGTTATGAAGGTAGCTGAGATCCATGTGTATGTGTGGATGCCCTTAGGACAGTGGCTAGCGCAGAGCAAACACTGTATACCAGGATTTTCTTTTTTTAAAAAGTATTCCAAGGCATCCTGGAGTGGGTCCCACTGAGCAAGAGGCTTCACTGGGGGAAGAAGTTTGTGAGAGGCCTTTGGGACTCCACAAGATTGATTCTCTGCCGGCGGAATCCCTTTAACAACCAGAGATGGGAGGACCAACCAAGAGTCTAAAGGTGGAGGGGCAAAGTCAAGAAAATTTTGATGATCCACTACTCTGTGTGTGGTGCTGTGCTAAGTTTCTCCTAGAACAAAAGCTAATGTTTATTGTGTGCTTTATGTCCTGTTTCATCTTTGCAACCTTAGGAATTAGGATCTTTTAGCCTTCCAGTTTTACAGGTGAAGAAACTGAGGCTCAGAGAAGTTAAGCAGTTTCTCTGAGATCACATAGCACAGAGCTGAAATACCAGCTCAGGTTGGTCTGACCTCAGACATGAGCCACTGCTCTGTTATCTCATTTATTCTTTACAAAAGTGCTATATTATCTCCAGTTTAGAGATGAGGTCACTGAGACTCAAGGAGGTGAGGTGGCTTGCTCACGCTCGCACAGCTAGTTGGAGGAGCCATGCCCCAATCCAGTTCTCCAGTCACAAATCCAGTGCTCCTGAAATCTGAAGACCCCTGGAGCTGTCCTGGGTACTGGGAGGATTCTGTGCAAAGCTGTGCCCACGTGGCCAGGGAACTGGCTCTTGAAGCCT